AATTCATAATTAATTTAAGACCAATACTAATTAAATAATACAATTTCATATTAATATATTATAACTTATAATATATTAATAAGCCGCAAATATACTCTTCTCATAATGTTATCCATACAAATAGTTCGGGTGAAGTGCAACCCAAATGGACCATGCCGGGTCGGGCCAAGTACATCTCAAATATTGTTATGGACTTAGACACCTTATCCAACAGTTAGGTTCATCCAAATTTATTAGCGTACTGTCACTAATAAACGTATCATGTTCACTTGTTATATGAAAGCCATATAACACAGGTGGAACACCAAATCTACTAGAACGTCTAAGAGGTAAGGACTCGTCAATCAGTTCAACAGGAGTTTCCTCCTCAGGTTGAGCGCCAATGTTAGAGGTTCCTTCATCGTTCGATTCTTGAAGCTCTTCAAGATCGATTTGCCTCCCACTGTCTCCTTGGCTTTTGAGTTCTCGCTCTCGGAAAACCCCTATCCTCGCAACGAAGACAACATTGCCACTCGGTCTATAGAAGAGATATCCAAAGGACTTCTGCGGGTAGCCGATGAAAATACATCGCTCACTACGAGGTTCAAGCTTGTCGTGAGTCTCTCGTCTTACGAAAGCCTCGCAACCCCAAACCTTGATATGTGCCAATGAGGGAGCTTTCCCTGTCCACATCTCGTGAGGAGTTTTGGCAACCTTCTTTGTAGGGACTAAGTTAAGGATATGGGCGGGCAGTCTCTAAGGCATACCCCCAGAATGATATAGGTAGCGAAGCACAACTCATCATGGAACGAACCATGTCTAGCAAGGTTCGATTACGCCTATCAGCCACAACATTCAACTGCGGTGTCCTAGGTGGCATTGCGAAACGATTATGCATTCCTTGAGGTAGTCGTGGAATTCAAGACTAAGGTACTCTCCACCTCGATCAGATCGAAGCATCTTGATTTTCCTGCTCAACTGATTCTCCACTTCTTATTTGAACTCTTTTAACTTTTCAAAGGTTTCTGACTTATGCCTGATTAAGTAGATATAGCCATATCTGCTATAATCATCGGTAAAAGTCACGTAGAAGCGGCTTGCATCCCTTGTGGTGGATCTAAAGGGTCCACATACATCTATATGTATGAGATCCAATGAACCCTCACCCCTTTCACAAAACCAGTGAAGGGTGACTTGGTCATCTTCCCAATTAAACAAGACTCGCACACGTCATCGTCCCTAAGGTTGAATGACTCCAACACTCCATCCTTTTGGAGTTGGGCTATGCGTTTCTTGTTGACATGTCCAATACGACAATGCCACAAGCATGCTTTATCCATATCATTGGAAGAATCGATATGTAATACATCATTTCCTAAATTGTCTACAATCATCACAGTTTCATATATTCCATTACAAGGCAATGCTTCAAAATAGAAAACACCATTAAGATAAGCATTAATAGAACCCTTTTCATTATCAAATGAATATCTAAATCCTTGTCTATACAAACCATGAAAAGAAATGATGTTTCTAGCCATTTCTGGCAAATAGCAACAATTATTCAACTCTAGTCCTAACCCATTACTAAGCACTAAAGAGTAAACTCCAATCTTGGTGACAGGCAACGATCTTCTGTTTCCCATGATCAGATTTATCTTCCCATGATCCACATCCCTATTTCTTCTTAGGCCCTGTAAATCAGAACAAATGTGAAAACCACATCATGTATCAAGAACCCAAGAAATAGCATGCGATGAGTCATTAGATTGAATAGTATAAATACCTGCGTAGGATGGTTTTATCTTTCCATCCTTGATGTCCTGCAGATACTTTGGGCAGCTTCGTTTCCAGTGCCCTTTGTCGTGGCAGTGATAGCACTCTGCATCCTTAGGGTTGGAGGAGGGTGCAGTGGTACCAGCTTTGGTTCGACTAGAAGAGGTGCCATTTTGAGACTTTCCCTTATGGTGGCTCTTTGAAGGAGCCTTCCTCTTCTTACCCTTTCCTTGCCCAATATCCAAGACTGGGGCAGCAGTAGGAGTGGGAGTTGGTGCAACGGATTTGTCCTTGAGCTTGCTCTCAGCAGTCCTCAACAAGCCCTAAAGCTTGCTCAAGCTGACCTCCTATTTGTTCATGTGGTAGGTCATGCGAAACTGGTTGAAGCAGGGTGGCAGTGAATGAAGAATGATGTCAATTGCCAGGTCTTCATCGAAGTTAACATTTAACTTCAGCAGGCGGTCGACATATCTCTGCATTTTCTGCAAATGAGCAGTGACAGACTCTCTGTCTCTCATCTTTGTTGTGATCATCGAAGTGATGATCTCATATCTTTCCTGCCTGGCACTCTGGTGGTACCTGTCCAGTAAATCCTGGTGCATCTCATTGGGATAGTAGTCCTCGTAGGACTTTTGGAGTTTAGTAGTCATGGTCGCTAGCATGATGCAATGGACTTTCGTGGCATCACGCTCATGGGCCTCAAAGGTAGCGATCTCCTCTGGAGTAGCAGTGTTGAAATTCACCTCCTTCAGCTCCTTGTCGAGGACATATTCTTTGTCCTCGTAGCGGGTAACCATTCGAATGTTGCTGATCCAATCATTGAAATTGGTCCCATCGAAGATCACCCTCCCACACAAATTCATGAGTGAGAATGAGCCTGAAGAGGTTGATCCTGAAGCGTTGTTGTTGTTCGAGTTAGACATTTGAAAAGAAAAGAGACAAAGTTTGATTAGATAAGAATCCCCAATTAAACACCCAAATTAGAAATTAGGGCTAGGATCCAACAAAATTATTTACAACTTAAAAGCGGGATGTCGTAATTTAAATTGCAAATAATTTGAAGGTAAGTGAATGACGATTCACTAATTTCCACCATGAAAAACAAAAGAGAATTAAGTTTAAATATATTGAAAACTCCTAGATCTTTTGGGATTCATTGAACTTTTCAATGGCATGTTTAAATCTCGATATGCCCCTCAAGTTTGTGACTGGGATACCGAGGATCACAAACAGGGTGTGAATAACCATGCAAATATACATGGTGCCCCCAATGTTACAGTCACCTAATCGATGTGTCGGTTAACCACAACGCTCCATCGATCTATGACAAACATCGAGTCACCCTTTGCCACCTTTGCTTAGAGCCAAATTAGTGTGTCGGTTAACCACACACGCTCCACTAACGTCTTAGCAAGGGTACAAAGTGTAATTTCATGGAATAACATCAAATTCACATTTTGCCTAATGTAACTAAGATTGGGAATTTTGTAAAAACATTTAGTTACTTTATAAGTCATTATACTTTTAACGAGGAAGGGTTTGCCCTATCCTACCCGTTCGGCTAACGACCCTCCACCAATCAAGGAAGCGGTGGGGAGAGTGGACACCCATTAAACGGCCATTTTATAGGCCATAACCTTATACCCCCCTTATACATCGGCTTCGTGAATGAGGCCTACTAACAGTAAGACTAGCATTTATGTTATACATATATAATAATTATTCTTATAATATTATAATAGTATAGGGTGAATTTTAAACTTGTAAAATTCTAGGGTTTGGAATTTAATTATTTCAAAATTAAACTTTTAATCCAAAATTTTAAATTCCAAAACTTGAGGGCAAGTTTTGAAACATTTCAAAACCATCTAGATCAAAACTCAAATAAATAATTAAACAATTAATTTTGGTGATTATCTAATTTTGACCTAATCCAAATTCATGCAAGATAATTGACCAAATAATTCAAATAATTAACATTTATCATATAAGGAAATAATTATTCAATTAATTTGACATTATCTTTTATTTTGGCAAGGATAATTACATAATATCAATAAAATTCGTATTTTATCAATTAAAAACGTTTTGGTAATTATCTCACAGCAAAATAGGCATAAAATCCTGAAATCTCCTCTGTCGGACTGCTCGACTCGCCGAGTCCCTTAATGGACTCGTCGAGTTCATCCTACTCGGCGAGTCCTCTTTGGGGCTCGACGAGTTTGTCAGACAGAAGGCCAAAAAATCGAATTCAAGCAACAAACAATCATGCAATGCATCAAATACAATAGAAACCAAGCAAGGCTCTGATACCACTGATGGGTTTTGAGCAAAATAACATCCTATGTGCACATGCAAAACCCTAAAGCTTGGATCTAGGTTTCTCTATTGAACATGCAATTCATCCAAGACTCATGAACCCTAGATCTAGCATACATATTTCAAAATTAACTTAATAGATCAGATCTAGATGATTACCTTTCTTGAATGGCTTGAATCTTCAACTCTTGGAGCTTAGTGTCACAAATGTCACACCTCTAATGGCTTACAAACACCACAAGCAAGATGATGATATTGGAGAGAGGGAAGGAGGCACAATTTCGGCTATGAACTCTCTAGGGTTTTTAGTGGCCGAAATCTGATGCCCTAAGGGTTCTATTTATACTTGTGCTGCTAGGGTTTCAGTCAAAACCCTAATGGACAGCTTAGGCCTTAAGCAGTCCAAGGAACCTTCTGGAATAAGGCCTCATTGGACGAATTCAAGATGGACTCCATCTTAATTTCGTCCATGCACTAATCCATAAGGATTCTCAGCCAAATAACTAACTATCACACAATTGACAGTTCCAGTCCCCTTTATTTAATTAATCTCTTTTAGCCACGAAATTAATTCATAATTAATTCATGACTAATATTAACTAAATAATATGATTTCTCTTTTAATATATTATTCATATAATATATTAATAAACCATAATAACTTCTCTCTATATATATAAATCATCCTGTCAAGTTGCTTTGGTGAAGGCAACCCAAAAGGACCATGCACAACCCGGGTCAAGTACATACCAAATATAGTTATGGGCTTAGACACTAATCCAACAGTTTGTAAGTTGTAGAAGACATTATATAGGTTAAAACAGTCTCTGCAAGCTTGGTTTGATCGGTTCAACAATGAGGAAGTATGGCTATCACCAAAATAATGTTGACCATACATTCTTTCTAAAAAAAGGCGAAAAAACAATATGGCAACATTGATAGTCTACGTAGACGACATGATAATCACTGGAGATGACGCTGAAGAAATCTCGAGGCTTCGAGAGAAATTATCGACTAAATTTGAAATGAAGAATCTGGGAGGACTTAAGTATTGTCTTGGAATCGACGTAGCAAGATCAAACAAAGGCATATTTCTCTCTCAGAGGAAATATATTCTAGGCTTGTTGGAGGAGGTGCGATTACTAGATTGTAAGCTCACGAACACACCAATTCTACAAAACCATGGACTTGTAGAATATCCGGATCAAGTGCTAATCGACAAAGGGAGATATCAAAGATTAGTAGGAAAGCTCATCTAATTATCTCACACTCGGTCATATATCGCTTATGTTGTAAGTATGGTAAGCCAATTCATGTAAAACCCAAGTGAAGATCATATGGGTGCAGGAATTAGAACCTTCCAATATTTGAAGTCATCACCAGGGAAAGGAGTTATGTTTTCAAAAAAATGGTCATCTCAATATTGAAGGACACACTGATTCTGATCAGGGAACAAATATCTTGGACATAGGTCGACCACAAGCTACTTTACATTGGTGGGGGGGGGGGGGATTTGGTTACGTGGAGAAGTAAGAAACATAAACTGGTAGCGTTGTGTAGTGCTGAAGCTGAGTTCCGGGGTATGACAAAAGGGCTCTGTGAACTTCTCTGGCTTAAAAGGCTCCTAACGGAGATTGGTTTCCCTCCAAACTCATAAATGAATTTATTTTGTGATAACAGAACTTCCATCGACATAGCTCACAACTCGGTTCAACACGGTCGTACCAAACATGCGGAGATAGACCGACATTTCTTTAAACATAATTTGGAAGAGAAAGCCATTCGATTTCCTTTCGTTAAATTAAAGGATCGGTTTGACGACATTCTCACAAAAACAGTCTCCAATAAAAATTTTATTTACAAATAAGGTATTAGAGACATCTACACACCAACTTGAGGGGGAGTGTGGGCATGAGTCTCTCAATTACCATATTATGATCGAAGAAATGTCTCTAATATAAAAGATTCTTTAAATTGCTTCATTAAATAGTTTTAGCTTCCTAAAATACCCTTCCCCCGTTTCTTTATATATTGTACACTAGTTGTGAAACTCATGTATTACATGGATTAATTTAAAAAAAAAAGTTAGATATAAAAGTCTAAATATTTGAGAACTTTAAATTTATAAGAAAATAAGAAAAATAATAAATTATTAAAATTGATTTTTTTTTATATTTTAAATTTAAACAAACAATTTAAATAAATAAACAAAAGAAATTAATGAGTTTTAATTTGAGAATTTTGAAATTAGAAGGTAAGTCCATTAATGAAATTGATATCCATTTATTACTACATTTATTATAATTATTACATTAAAATATTACGTGAAATTTAATAAAATAAGAAAACTCATAAAATGACATAAGGAAAAAATTAATTCAAAATAACAAAAAAATGACATTTGGCAAATTGAACGAGATTTTGACATTTGCCAAAAGAATCTTCATTTATTAGAGGAGATGTGTTGTTAAGTTTAATACCGAAGAAATTTACCTACTTGTGTCAATAATTTATATTTGTTTGTTCGTCGTGCATTCGTTGAAGTTCTAGTTTCGCTTAGGTTTGGTACCACCATTATTGCAGCCTTCTTCATCGACGCCATATGTAATTATTATATGACATTCTGAATTATCTGGAAATTTTGAAACGATATGATATTTGAAGCGATAAATCAAAAGAAAATGAAATTATTTAACTAAATTGTTTCCGAGTCTTTCTTCCGTACGTCATACTAAAACCTAATTAGGTGGGCGTTTTGCAAAATAGTAAGTTAGCTTTTGTCTCAGTGTAATTTGTTACTAGTGTCTCGGTAATTTTCCTAAATTTCCACCATTTGTAAAAAATTTACGCATTTACAATTGAACGAGTCAAAATTGTTATCATTGATTGCATTATAGTATATTTCTCAATCTGTAGTCGACTAAGAATGGTTTTTCATATATTTTAAAAGTCATATATAAAAAAGTTGATTTGAAAACATAATAAAATTGGGTCAAATACATGAAAACAAATGAGACTTTATAGTAGCCATCAATTGTAAAATTATTTAAATAGACAAAAGAAATATGAAAAGACAAATGAGGAGCGTAAGGTGTGTGGTGTCCCTCTCAATGACACGTGAAGACGCTCCTATCTACTAAACCCCCATCATGTATATCTCTCTCACGTGCTTCCGATATATATAGATATAGATAATATATATATATATATATTATATATATATAGATATATATATATATACTAGCTTATAACCAGTGGAAACCACGGTTGGTTTGTTTAAAATTATTATATAGATAAAAATATTGAATGTCAAAAAAAATCCGAACGTATTGCCGATTGTAAGTCATCCTGAATTAATGTGATAAATAAAATAAACATAATACTTTAATTTATATCCTTAG